TTAGGTCAGAGGCGTCATTTAGGCTTGAGGATCTTTTACATACAAGTAAATCTACTAAAATGTGACAGCCGGCTTTACTTCCCCTCCGAAAAAAGGCGTACGAAGGATTTTTACGCCCTCAAAAATCCACGACTTCGATCAGGTTTGAACTCACCAACTTGTGTACAACAGTCCAGTACGCTAACAGTTTCACCATCGCCGCTGCGGAATTATTTTCTACTACTTTTTTAATATGAAACTAACGAATTAATGTAGTAATATCACACACAAAATAAGTTTTGTGGAGTGAATGTGGAGTGTTATATAAGTTTGTTTTCAACGAAGTTTAAAGTAATAAAAATGTTTTACTTTTTAGGGCCTTTTGTAATAAAAAATATTACCGAAACAAAATCTTTACATTAGGCGGAGAATTACGACACGGAAAAAGGGCAAGAACATAATGGGAGCGTAAACACCAGGTATTGATGAGACAAGGGAGTAAGGAGAAAGAGCAAGGTGGCCAGGAGTTGGAAAGAAAGCAGAAATGATCAGGTTTAAGGAAAGAGAGTAGCTCGAATGTCACAGGTAGAGGGGATTTCTAAAAGGACTATGTTATCGATGGTGTATCGTCGTAGCATGGGGGGGGGCAGAGTATCGAATGCCATAACGGTGGTAGAGAATGATGGCGGTGACAGATTCACCTAATGTCCGCGGGGGGGGGTGGAGGACTGGTGACCCGTGTGCAAACGCCGATGAGAGCATTCGAACATTGACAGCTAGGTAGGGCGACGAGGGCGGTGAGGGCGGTGAGGGCGGTGAGGGCGGCGAGGGCGGCCGAGAGCGGCGAGGGGCGAGCGCGGTGAGGGCGGGCGAGGGCGGCGAGGGCGGCAAGGGCGACGAGGACTGCCGACAGCAGTGAGGGGACATGAGCGACACCGAAAGCAAATTGCGTGCTATTGCAGCCGGGCGATGCAAGTGGTCGTGGAATTATTGAGGAATGCCCGCGCCCGTCTGCCGAGCTTTCAATCGCTTCCCAGCCTCTCTCATCTGCTATCGTCACGCGTCCGATCGTGTCGTTGTTGAGTACGTCTCAGCCGCTCCCCTCGACCCTGTCGGGCCCGCCGCAGTGGTGATGGTCAATCACAACGCTATACCTTGCGACGCAAATAGACAATGCACAGACTGCTGGACGTCCTCCAGATTCCGAGAACTTCTGTCTACAATATGCATTCGGTACGTTTGTCTGTGGATCTCTGCTAAAATTATACTTTGTTGTAAAACAAAATAGTTTTTAAGACATTTCCTGGATAAAAATTGACAAACTCTACACTTCCATGAGGTTTTTTTATGAAATTTGAATAATGTATTATTTTGTTTCAGAATGTATGTATCTCAAATTAGAATACTTATTACAATTGATATTTTAATGTAATGAAAATTAAAAAATAAACTCTATTAAGTATATGAAATGGAAGTGAAGTAAATCAAAATTTCTGTACCTCAAAGGGGCGCGTTTTTAGACCACGCATGCAAACAGAACATCAAATTCACGTGTAACATTTCATATTTCTTTGAAGTTGAAACATTGAATTTACTTAACTTACGCAAAAAAAAAAACCAAAGGGTCAGATGAGACAAAATAAACAAAAACCGTTAGTTTATTCATCTGAAACGGAACTTGAAAAGCTACAACATCCTTACGAAAGATGTTAACACAACATCAAGACCGATGCAAACACACGTTTGTGTAAAAATCACAGCAACATGAAATTTTGGTATAAAGAAACAGCAGATCCTAACGTTGACACTGAGTTTCAAAAAACTTTGAGTGTTTAAGTAAATAATGTAATATTGAAATGTGAGTTTATTTATTTAACCACATTATTTTCGTGGAAATAAGATCAGAATGTCCTCACTAAATTATAGAGGGACCCAAACGCGAACTCCAAATGTTCGGGGATTGATCGACCTATTAGTGATACCGGGCGCACCTACTGCTAAAGTCATTAGTTACGTAAATGTAGTGCGTGTTTTTCCTCGTGAGGTGATGTTGATCTTCCCGCGCAGAATGGTGAGATCCGGCACCGACCTACTGTTGGCTAGCGAGGTATTCCCCAACCAGTTACCTCCCACCCGCCCCGACCGTGACAAACTTTGATCTCCAGTCCCGTCTCCCGAGATGTGTTTTAGTGTAGAGCTGTGTGTGTGTTATTAAGGGGTGAGCACAGGACAAGTAACAGGAAGAGAAAATCGCGGGCAGTCTTTGGCTCGTTTCTAAGGTACTCTAGTACTTATTAATTCCCCTAGTGTGATTAGGAGAAACCATGTACCGAATGAGGTCGAACCCTGGTGGTGGAAGACACCTGGTTGGAAACACCAGCACGCCCACGGTAAGGACCGTGCCGGATCTCACAATCCATCGAGGGAAAATCGTCACCATCTCTCGCAGTGAAAACACGCACTACCCTCACACGACGAATGACCATAGAAGTCGACGCGTCCAGAATCACCGAGCTCCAAATGTCTGAGAGATCCCAGTAAGACTCAAGCGCGAGTCCCCGATGTCTGAGGAGTTCCGAGTGAGACCCAAACTCGGTCTCTGAGGAGATTCGAACCCCACCTGAGTGTGATGTCTGAGGGGAGCGCTGGGTCGCGGGTGGCTGCTGGTGGTGGGCGGGCAGCGCGCGTCGATGGGCGACGGAGCGCGCTGATGCGGGCGGTGGCGCTGGGAAATGCTCGGGCGGAGGTGTCGCGCGTCGCCGAGTGTGAGACACCCCGCCCACACAGCGCCCCTTTCTCGCCTCCCCTGCACCTCCCCACCGCCCGTCTCGCCGTTGCACAACGGCGGCTCTCCTCAGGCGATGGTCGTACCAGCCGACAAACTAGCCGTGGCATTCCCCTTGGTAGTACTACCATACACACACACAGACACACACACACACACACACACACAGACACACACACACACACCACTAACACACACACACACACACAGCACACACACACAAACCAAACACAAAACAAGCACCACACAGGAGACACACACAAGCACACACACACACACCACACACACACACACACAAACACACACACACACACACACACACATCACCACCAACACACACACACACAACACAACACACACACACACACACACACACACAGCACACACACACACACACACACACACCACACACACACACACACACAACACACCACAGCACACAGCACACACACCACAGCCCACAACACCACATGCACACACACACACACACACACACACACGACACACACACACACACACACACACACACACACACAACACACACACACACACACACCCACACAAACACACACACCCCACACACACACTCCGGGCGTCCGGTGTGGAACACAGACACACACACACACACAACACACCACACACACACACACACACACACACCACACACACAACACACACAGCACACACACACAACCCACACACACACACACACACACACACACACACACACACACAACACACACCACACACATCACACACACACACAAACACACACACACACAACCATCACCACACACACACACACACCCACACCACCACACAGCACACACACCACACACACACACAAAACACACACACCCACAACACCCCACACACAACACACACACCCACACACACACCACAACACACACAGCACACACATGTCCACAAACACACAGCCAGTCACATCACACACACCACACACACACAACACACAACACACACACACTCACACACACACAACACAACACACACACATCACACAGCAAACAGGCACACACAGACACAAAACACACACCACACACACACACACACACACACACACCACACACACACACACAGTCACACACACACACACACACACAGCACACCACAACACACACACACACACACACCACACACGCACCACACACCCGACAGGCACACAAACACACACACAGAGGGCACCACACACATCACACACACAACACACACACACACACACACACACACATACACACACCACACACACACACACACACACACACACACACACACACACACACACACACACACACACACACAACACACACACACACACACACACACACACAACGATAAACCCACACCATCACACACGGCACACACACCACAGCACACACATCACACACATCACACACACACTACACACACCAACACAAGCACACAACAACAACACACACACACACACACCAACACACCACAAACACACACACACACAACACACACACACACGACACCACACACAACAACACACAGCACACAACCAGCACACACAACACAACACCCCACCACACCACACACAGAGGAAAGACAACACACACACACACACACACACACACACAGCACACACACACAACACACCACACACACACACACACAAACACAACACACCCACACACAAGCACACACACACACACAACACACACCACACAACACAACACCACCACACACACACACCCACACAACCACACACAACACACACACAACCACACACCCACACACAGCACCACCACACACACAACACACACACACACAATATATAATATATAAGGAAGAGGGAGGAGGAGGAGGGAGGGAGAGAGAGAGAGAGAGAGAGAGAGAGAGAGAGAGAGAGAGAGAGAGACCTTAATTATAACTTTTGAACAGTTTAAGTTTTCTCAGATGTGCATGAGGGAATAGGGTTACTTCATACATGCATTCATTTTTATTTTATCAAGTTTTTTTTATGGGATATTTGAGACAACTTTGTTTTTTCAAATAGAATTATACATATTTTTTCGACTTACCACAGCGATCGTAAAAAGATGAATCCAACGATATACATATTCTTATTTGTTAAATAACTATTTTTTGAGTAATTTAATTTGTTACGACTAATGTTTAACAGATATTTTGAATGTAACAGTCCACCACACAAGGTCACGCAGCGCTTCCCCTGTTCGCGGTCGGGGAAGGGAAGGGAACTATTTCAATGGGTGTCACACCTCAGGAAATTAATGAGATATTGATGCTAACCCCACTGCAATTGCAATCGAGAACGAATAATGGTAAAACACGGTGAAATACCGTGACAATAGACAAATATAGACAGAAGAAAGCGAATGACAAGAAAACCCGGAAAGAGGCAAAGGTGAGTGAAGACAAGATAATCTGAAATTAAACAGGGTTTCAACTGGGATATTCAACATCGACCGGAAATTCGCCGTTTGGCTTTTGATTAAGCTTGAAAGATAGTCAGAAAGTGAATGGGGAGAAAAGGGAGAGAGAGACTTCGGAGGGTCATTAAGGGCGAGATAAGAAGAGGAACAAATACAGTGCGAAAAATGGCGAGTGAGAGTAAGAGTACGATCAAGAGGTGGGGTAAAATGGGCGAAAGCAGCCCAGATGTGACGAAATGAGACGAAAAGAGACCCGAAGTAGCAACTTAGGCATCAAAAGAAGGAAACCCCCAAGAGAAATAAATGGCAAACGAGAACGAATAATCGCAAAGTATAATAAAATACCGTGGCTATTGACAAATGTGGACAGATAGAAGCGAGTGACGAGAAACCGCGCGACCGGTCGGGAGGCTGGAACTTGTCAGGTCTGGGGCGGTGCCACACTGATGGGAGGCACGTGTTTGGGAAAATCTCCGGTAGCCGACGGTGAGCAGGTGACGCGCCCGGAATTACTAAGAAATCAACCAACCAACGAAGAAACCCGGAACAGACCGAGTTGGGTAGAGACAAGGTAAGCTGATATTCACATGGATTCGGGGGCGTGACGCAGGGCGTAGGAGGAGGGGCGGGGGTGACGTGGGCGAGAGGCGCTCGCATGCGGCCGCAATTGCGGTGCCGGAACAGGCCCCACGCCGCCCATTGGC